TATATATATATACACACACACACACACACACACACACACGAGGCAGGTGTTGATATTCACAAAGCATAAATATCATGGTGACATTTTATAAAACAGTTCTATTCAGAAGTAATTGAAATAAGTAACTTATGTTTCAGACAAAATGTAAAAAAAAAAAAAAAAAAAAAAAAAGTTTATTTGATACATCAGGATTGTATGGCTCATAAAGCATGATATACGGAGCTCACACTCAAGGAGGAAAAAGCACATCAGTTTTATTCAGAGGCCCAAACTGAGAAAAAATATGTACTTTGGTTCAGATGTTGTTATTTATTTGGCCAAAAAGTACAGGTGCATCTCAATAAATTAGAATGTTGTGGAAAAGTTCATTTATTTCAGTAATTCAACTCAAATTGTGAAACTCGTGTATTAAATAAATTCAATGCACACAGTCTGAAGAAAAAAAAAAAAGTATAGTTTGTATATTTCTTCTCACCCAGCAAAACTGGTTGCAAACACCAACGCATCAAGCTTTGCGTGTCCCCAAGCAACGCGCTGATTGGACAAAATCCCTTTAAGGGTATTCTATAGTCTTTGGATTGGATCACTGGAGCGGAGCGACATCAATTTCCCGTCACACCCACAAGGCCCCCATTTTTACAGCTCCACTCCGGATTTTTTAATTTCACACTCCCCACTTGCTAGTAGTGAGAGAAACCCTCTCCGAGCGACCATGAAGCTTGAAAAAATTTATTTCTTAGTACATTATAATAAAACACCTCTATATTTACATGGAGTTTTGCCTGTTTTATGTCTGTCTTCTGATGCACTGATCTGGTTTATTTTTCAACAGAGGAGCATATAGCGAGTCCAGAAGAGCGTTTAAACTGAGGGATTCACCTGATCCGATGCAAACCGATCCGAGCCCGCAGGGAGGGAACGGGCTGTCATTAACCCTGCAGCCGGAGCTGCTCGCCCGAATGCCCGGCGCTGGAAGTGCCAACAGGCCGGAAACAGACGAGGACGTCCGGGTTTCTATCGGCAGCGGAAGCGGTGCGACGTCGCGGAGGCTGAGAGCAGCGAGCCACAGCCACGGACACACACACAGCCATGAGCACACACACAGCCACGAGCACGAGTCAGACAGCAGCGAGTCTGACCTGGAGTCCGGAGAATCCAGCAGCTCGTTATCGGAGCTGCGCTACCTCCTGCGCTGGCTCAAGAAGAGTCTTCCCTTCATAGTTATTCTCTGTGCGAAACTAGTCATCCAGCATGCCCTGGGTACGTGTTAGTGAGAACAGCTGTTTATGCAGTAGTTATGATGTGTAAAGGTCATTACCCTGTCACACGTCTGTGTTGTTATTTTTCTGTAGGTCTGGCTGTTGCAGTTGGTTTGTTTACCACCTTTATGTATGTCAACAAAAGCATTCAAACGCAAGTCTTTCTCCACGTGAGTCTACCATATTATTTGATATTTAACAGGGGAGTTAAAGAGCAGTGCTTGTAACACCTCTAGTAGGGTTATAGGTTAATCTGTTGTGGTGATCTATGAACTTTGACGATTGTGGCCTTGAGCAAATTTGCTTCATGCGCAAAAGTCTATTCACATCAAGAGCAATATAAAAACTCCTCTAGAAATGTATATTAAATTGATTAAAAGTGACAGTAAATATATTTATAATGTTTCAGAATATTTCTCTTTTAATAAATGCTGTTCTTTTGAACTTTCTACTCTCTAAAGAATCCGGTAGAAAAGTAATACTATTTCCACAAAAATATTAAGCAGCACAACTGTTTTCAACATTGATAATAATAAGAAATGTTTCCTCAGCACCAAATGAGCATATTAGAATGATTTCTGAAGGATCATTTGACACATCATGTGATCTTACTAACCCCAAACTTTTGAATGGTTGAGTTTGTGTGTATATTTATATATAACTAAACAAACAAACAAAAAATAATAATAATAATCTGATGGCTCCTTTGTTTTTTCTCCTGTATAAAGGACCGAAGGACAAAGTTGCATTGTGCCTGGCTTTTGCTGTTCCTCACATCCTCCAGTCTCCTCGTGTTGTACACTTTTCACACCCAGTCACTTTATCGCTGGTAAGTGCTTTACATTGTATCACCAAACCTCACTTCACCACAAACTGTTCTACGTTTAGTGTAATATATCAACTAAATAACCAAATGTCCACTAAATGACAAATACGTACCATGTAAATATAATCGTCTCTCTCTTTTTTCTTTTATCCCTCAGCCTCATTTTTGCCAACGCTACAATAGATTCTCAGAACTTCTGGGAGGTTTTATGGAGTGTCGGTGTGACTAACTTCATTTTGAAGTTTTTCTTCATGGGGCTCAAGTGTCTTATTCTCCTCATCCCCTCCCCGCTCATGACATACCGGCGAAGGGTGAGCATGATTTGTAACATTATTTATTTTGCTGCTCTGAATCTAAATGAATGTTAGCTTCACCGTATCCATCCTGCTTTCCATAGGGTCAGTGGTACATGCTCATAGAGGAGGTGGGTCAGTTGTATCAAGTGATCGCTCCTGTCCCGCTTTGGTTCCGCTATCTGGTCAGCTACGATGAGATGGACACCTCAGTGGGTCTGACTCTGGGAATCCTGCTAGCCTTGATCTACCTCATAATGAAGGTGAGTACAATCATTACAATAAACTGCTGTTTGAAACCAATACATTATTAGGAGACATCCCAATAATCTGATTTTATGTTTCTTATTTTTAGCTTTTGGCCTTGTATGGACTGTCAGGATCATTGCAAAAACAATTACGGACTTTTTTCAGTCCTGAGGTACAAAAGATCGCCTTTTACCTGTCCTGTGCTCCTCTTAGTCTGAAATATTAGTTGGCTAATCTGTAACACAAATAGTGAAATTATAGACAAATGTTTTGTTTTCTGCATGTGCTGTTTAATGTTGTTTTTACCTGTCTGTAAAGGTGAACGGAGCTCCAGTCAGTCCTGCTCAGATTAGGGAGGCAGGTGACATTTGTCCGATCTGTCAGGCTGATTTTAAGCAGCCTCGGGTCCTCGTGTGTCAGGTGAGAATGTGGTCCTTGAGTTTGACCTCCGATGTCATTCCACTTAACCTCCACTTTCCCAGGCTAAACCATAAAGCTTCTTGAGCGCAGTATTTATTACAAAGCTAATCTCAACCCACATGAAAAAGACATTTTAAATGAGAAAATTAGCTCATGTAATTCTTTTGTAAAAATCAAGTTTTGTAAAAAATAATCACTATTTCATATACTGAGTTCCTTACATTTTTGTCAGTTTTTGCCTTTAAAATTATTTTTCCAGCAACTCTATAGCAACATAATTATCATATATTTCAAGTAAAAATAAAATGATACATTTTAGTAACTGTTTGATTAATATATTATTCTGCATCTCCCTCTTCTTGATATATATATGAAAACATTTAGCCAGCAATGTTTTTTGTAGTCTTTTTTTAATATTTAAAGATTACTTTTTCAAAACTACATGATTATTTTACAAGATGATCATAATCATATTTACATTATTTATTTTTCTGTAAACAGACAAATGTGTTGGCTGTAATTTTACTACAGCTAGTACTCAGTTAAGGCTAATAAGCAATGAATGTTACAATGTATCCTGTCTAGTGCTGGGCGGTATACTGGTTCATACCGAATACCGGTGTTTATTTTTATGATATGAATTTTTAAAATACCGCAATACAGTCAGTAAGCGACAGGTGCTAGGAAACGCTGTTTTGTACCCATTTATTGACGAGACGGCTGCGGTGCGGCCAACTGAATGCGCTGCTTCTCTGCCGCTCACTGAACAGAACAGACGCTGGATGAGTCACTTAAGCAACGTTCGGAACGCGACACTGTTTGAAAGGGGTCCCTTTTCACTGTTGCACTGTGGTGAGGGAACAGCTGTATGTGTTACTAAGTGTGAAAGTTCCGAAACTTAAGCTGTAGAACTAATAGAACGTGATGACACAGAAGAACTCATCCACAATATCCACATTGACCGCCACAAATATCCACCGCCCCCTGCCATCAGCTCCCGCGTCTCACACACACACCTTCAGCACTAGATTTAGCAACTTTCAGACCCTTTTTGTCCCCTTTTTTTTTTTTTTTTTATCTTTCAGCACATGACTTTTGTTTCTGTAGATGTAATACACAGTGTCACATAATGCATGTGCATAAATGTCAAATATTTACTGTTTGATTGTCTCTAGCATATCTTCTGTGAGGAGTGCATCGCCCAGTGGCTTAACCAGGAGAGAACCTGCCCTCTCTGCCGCATTGTCATCACAGACAAGGTGCATAAGTGGAAAGATGGTGCAACATCAGCTTATTTACAAATATACTGAAATCTCACAGAAAGGACGGAAACACAGTGTTGTGGCATGTTGAAACATTCAACCAGCAGTGGATCCACAGAATGTGGATTGTTCCTCTCAGACATCTCCATTGAGCAAACAGCACTTGTTATAAGGCAAAGGGCTCTAGAAAAAGCTCCAGTTTTGAATTTTTGAAATATAGATAACTTGTCAAAAGGACAAGTGTTTTCACCAGCTCTTGTATTATTATTATTATTATTATAACTATTATTATTGTCGCTTTATTTTTTAGTGTTTATAATTTATATTCCTCTTTTTGTTCTTGCATGTCATCTCTGGTTTTACTAATTACCTTGTGGGTGTAACCATACTTTTGGTATGATCCTTTGTCAGATACTGTGGTTTTTGCAACTTAATTTGTTTTAAATGCATTTAAGACTCCAATCATAAAGAGTTCTGGATTTTGCATTCAATTTGAAGTATTCTGATTTCTTTGGTAATAATCTGAATGTGAGTTATTTGCACATGAACTACTGATTTATCAAATGATGTAGCATTAGAATTTTGTAACCATGTGATTTTTGTGACTGAACAACACACAATGGCTTTTGAATTATTATTATTATAATTCAGGCCATTCCACAGATACATGGTATTTTTCTAATCATGTTGTACTTACGCTGTAATAAACCAAAGCTTTGAAGACGAAATATCTATTTTAGTATCATCATGCAGTATGCAGTTACAGTTGTATTTTTATCCAGTATATTTGACCAAATAAATTTTTCAATCTGTTAAAAAGTGTCACTGAAATGCTTTGCCCAGTAAATGCAGGTTTGCTTGGTAAATGCTCGAATTCAACTTTATTGATTTTGTAGAATTCACTAAGGTTAAAGGGGTCATATGATGCGATTTCAAGTTTTCCTTTCTCTTTGGAGTGTTACAAGCTGTTCGTGAATAGATAAGATCCCTGAAGTTGCAAAGACTAAAGTCTCAAAACCAAAGAGATATTCTTTATCAAAGTTAAGACTCTGCCACACCCCCCTAAAACGGCTCGTTCTAACACGCCCCCACATATCTAGGTCACTATGTGGGAATATTTGCATAATGCGCCCAAATGTGCACGCAAAGAAAGAAGGCGTGGTTTCAGTAACCGCAGTAGTGTTGATGCAGCCATGTCAGGGAGACGCTGTGTGTTTCTAGGCGAAAGCAAAAGCACTTTATTTGGCCTTCCAGAAGTAGATGCATTTAGGAATCTTTAAGATTACTTACAACAGAACAGCAAGGCATTTTATGGACGACCGTTTCGTGAACCTAGGAGAAGAGGTAATTCTGACTTTGCTATGACAATCTGGCGCTTCTGAATCAGCTACTGTAAGTATGTTTTGTTATAGTTTAAGTATTTGCTATTGACTGTTCAAATGCGGAGTTTTGAGCATCGTGTGTGTGTGTGTGTGTGTGAGAGAGAGAGAGACAGGGTCACATCACAGTGGAGTCAACTGTCTTAACCGTGGCTTGTGTACTGCAAACACATACCAGCTTCATCACTGTGTCTGTCACGCGACTCTGTTCCCCTTTCAGGCTCTGTCTTTACATTTATTTTGAAAGATGAAGCTCGCGATTATGGTAAGGGGCGTTACATTTCCGACGAGTGCTTGCGGTGTTCGGCCAATCACAATGCACTGGGTCAGCTGGCCAATCAGAGCAGACTGCGCTTGTCGGAAGGAGGGACTTTGTAGAAAACGAAGCGTTTGAGAGAGGCGGGGCATAGAGGACCTACAACAATGTACAGTATTTGAAAAATAATGTGTTTTTTGAACATTAAAGCATGTCAACATATTCTGTTACACCAAATACACAAAATAATGATCTTTAAAAAAGCATCATATGACCCCTTTAAATTAAAATGAATTTTAAAATAAACACGAGGAATCACAAAACACCAGATATTAATCAATCTCGCCATTCCATACTTTACATCCATTCATTGTTTAAACCAAATGTGCCACTGTCCAATAAACACAGCACTTCAAGCATTTGCATTTAAAATGCAAAATGCATCCTCATCTGCATCTCAATTCTTTTCACAGGCATTTACTTTTTACTTTATAATCCAGGAAGTTTCAGAATTGGTTCCAACTCTAACCTGAAGGAGTACCACAGATTTTCAAGATCAGGTTTAGTTCAACTCTTTCTAAAGCGCAACTAAACACCACATTACATTTTTATAAAGAACATATATTAATGAAGATAAAAAAACAGACCATTAACACATAGCACCAAGTTATGTCTTAATATTCCAACATGACTGCAAGAATCAGTGGGAGACGGTTTGAGAGGTTTTAAACCTACGTCATGAGTCTAATGATTATATGGCCTGGGCTCATGGACAACATCCAAGTCATCAGACTGACACAAGTGATACATAAAGCCATTTACGCCACATTACAGAGCCCTCTCTCTCAGCCAGCAGTGCATAGAATAAACGGTAGATATTTGTGTATGCGAAGGCAAAATGGGATGCTTCCATAGTCAAAGTACCAGTTAAGAGGCAATTTAATTAAGCTGTTGGTCTCGCACAGATTTCAAAATCAAAGGCTTTCACATATGAAGCCGTTACTGGCTGTTAACTGCCACGGTACAGCAGGCTGTTGTTTATCAGTAGGCACTGTATCTGACAGCTTAAGATATTCAGAATCATGCTTCCTGTGCATAGTGAGTACAGCCAATTATTGGCTTGATGGAAACTGCTGCAAAGTCCAGACAGTTCAATCAGAGCAATGGCCTCCTAATGTCCAACCACAATTACAATCTACACGACGGAAATTAGAGTTTGAGGATGTGAGCTAAACATCACATTCAATCAGTGAATTACAATGTCACACCAGAACAATGTTCTCAAGCAGAAAACAAGCCTATTTTACATTCCCATGGGAAAAAAAGTGTGTCATTCAGAAATCGTTTAAATGCGGTCATTGACGCAATCGCAGTCTCACACGCAGATGTTCATTGATAACAATAACACTTCTATGAGCACAGGAATGCCTGTGAAACACGATACAAAGAACCACCCATGATGGCTTACGTACAGCACAATCTTAACAAGATGCAGATTCAGTGTCCACCAGTTCAAGGAGTCACTTCATCATACAATACATACTGTATCTGTAAGAACTATAATACAAGGAAAAAACACCAACATTCATGAAGAATCATGTCTATGTACAGCAATTAAATAAATACGTTTTTTTTTTTTGGGAAAGATTTACTACTTTATTATGCTTCCATCATTCTGGATTGATCTAGAATAGAGATTTTCTTTCCCCTTAACCACATATATCCAAGCTTATTTAATCAAAATTCAATAAAACAATAAATAATACAGTGGTTTTCTAGTGTACAGTGCACATCCTGAAAACATATTTAAAATCACATTTTTAATGTCCCCGAGAATAATAAAATTGTTTTGACTCCAACACCTTTGTAGAAAGAAGAAGGCATGTGTTCATGTTACTAATCCGGCTAAACCCTGAAAAGCATTTTTGACTATAAAGAATAAATAATTTGCATAGTTTACAAATCTATACGGCACCTGAAAAATAAATAGGTCAAAACACATATTCAGGGGGGGAAAAAATCAATTACTGATAGGGGTAGTGTTAAGGAAACTATTTCAAAACTCGTCTTGGTGTCTTCAATATTAGGATTAAAAATTAAATAAGCATTCTGTTTAAAGTCAGTAGTATTACTGGAATTTGTGTTTGTGGATGTGGCTTAGAAAGAAGTAACTGTACTCTGGATTATGAGGATTTATCCAGTATTATATAGTGATATATTATTTTTTAAATTCTTTGGTCAGAAAATTGGTTGTTAAATAGCTTTTTACTGTTGAAAAGAAAAACAGTGATTTGATGCCCAGAGTGCAGGTAGATTCATACTTGAATGTATGAATTTTAAATGTAATCAAGAGCAGATCAAAATAAGAGAATAATGCCTTGAGGTCATCTAACACTGTCTCATGAACCTGCAGCAAAGAAAAAAAATTTTTTTACTTCATAGTTTATCATTGGTAGGTTAGACTAACACGACTATAGAGCTCCAAGTACCCTACATCTGTGATTCTAGGGGTCCAAACAACTATTGATGAATTAAGAATCAAAAACAAAGCAAATCAGACAGATTCCTCAAGAATGTAGACCTGGATCTTCTTGCCATTTTAAAAAGACAATTCACCCAACAATTAATATTATGTCATCATTTACCCTCATGTCTTTCCAAACCTGTATGACTTTATGTTCTTCTGTGAAACACAACAGAAGACATTTTGAAGCACGATACAACTGTGTTTGTCCACATAATGAAAGTCAATCGGTCTAAAACAAAAAAACGCAGAGAAAATCTTCTTTTGTGTTCCACAGAAGAAAGAAGGCAAGTTATACAGGTTTGGAATGGCATAAAGGTGAGTACATGGCAAAATTTATATTTTTTGGGTGAACTATCCATTTAAATACTGTTACTTTTAGTTAGAACATAATCAAGCAAAACACAATAACAAGTGGCTCAAACTCAGTGTCTCAGATCACACTTCAAATATACAACAGAAGATACTATGTATTCTCCCTTATGTTTTGCATGAGCATGGCATATAAAAGATAAACTGTGAAATTCATGCTCAGAGTGCAAGGTGCTCTTTCATAGCAAGCAGCAGCCCCCCTCACCATAATGCAAGCAGAGAGAGGTTACAGCTCTGCATGCTTGCATGAAGTACACTGGTGCGGCAAGTGTTTAAGAGACAGAAACTGGGTGCAGAAAGGCCTTTTGGGTAATTTGATAAATTCCTAAAATACAAAACTTAAGACGTTCATCAATGATTCATCCTTAAATGCTTGGGTCTCCTGCCGCCCGCTGGGTGAGTCGGTTTCACAAATGACCCTGTGTTGGATGGTTTTTTGATGGGGAGAGGGGCTGACACCTCCATGTTGCTGCTAATGTCCAGCTGCTCCACATTAGACACCTCCATGGGCGTATCAGTGGGCGGCAGGAGAGAGGAGGTGGTTGTGGGCAATTCTGGGAAGAGTGGACCCCGAGTCCAACCGTCTAACCCTTCAGCCTTCACAGGGCTGGAAAAAGCAAGTATGGCATCACGGGTTACGGATCTCGATTCATGTTAAATTACAAATGCAAAACCAGGATAAACATGACCAGATAAGCATGTTACAGCATGTACACAATCTTGGACTTAAAGCCCAGATAAATGAAATCAATGTCATTCCCTACAAAATCACAGGGTTGGGAATCAATACACATTTCGATTAGTTAGTGTATATATACATATATAAATATAAATATATATAGAGAGAGAGGAAGTAGTAAGGCATTTGGGTATTTTTCCGCCTACTGTTTAAATACTATTAATTCGGACCTACTACTCTTCATGTACTGTTTTCCACCTACTATATAGTAGGGAAGCAAGCATATTCGGACACAGCCTGTGAGCTTATTTTAATGATTCATTCTTAAAAGTAATCCGTTTCTTCAAATGCAGATCATGACTAATATTTTTTTTACCCAGCCCTACAAGATCATAAAACTGGACATAACTACTTTATACACACTTCAAACTGTGAATCTAAGTGGAATGAGAAAAACATTACCTCACTGGTGTTCTTGGGCTTCCCAGAAGCTTGCGAGGTGAACGGGATTTTGGCTCAAAAGTGAACTTCTCGTTGATGTTTTCGAGCACAGATGGAGCTATGTACGTAAAGCCCTGAGGAGAGATGACATCCGAGAAGAGATTAAATGGGGGAAAAAAAAAAGTTTGGGTAGACAAAATAAAAGGAAAAAAAAAGTAGATGAGTGTAGAGGATGTGCAATTATGATGAACCAAAAAAAGAACATGTCACGCTAAGAGCTGGAAAAAACAGTTAAACAGTAATAATACAGACCAGATGAGAGACATTATCCCTTTCTCGTAAGTTTGTCTACAAAAATAACTAATTTACCACACACTCACAACGTAGGTCGGAAGTCAGAAATGAATCTCGTACACATTCTTGAGTGCTCTACACAGCATGCTGATGATAATTAAGATCAAATGGTGTATAAACAAATTTGGAGGCTTCAGTCGGGTTCTTGTTATGTTTGGACTATGGTGTCACGTACACTAAGGCTTTAGTGGTGAGTAATATTACACTATTTGTCTGAAGAACATCTTTGTTTATTTATCTACACTACAATTCAAAAGTTTAGGGCCGGTAAGGTTTTTGAAAGAAATTAAAGGGGTCATATGATGCTTTTTTAAAGATCATTATTTTGTGTATTTGGTGTAACAGAATATGTTGACATGCTTTAATGTTCAAAAAACACATTATTTTTCAAATACTGTACATTACTGTAGGTCCTCTATGCCCCACCTCTCTCAAACGCTTCGTTTTCTACAAAGTCCCTCCTTCAGACAAGCGCAGTCCGCTCTGATTGGCCAGCTGACCCAGTGCACTGTGATTGGCCGAACACCGCAAGCACGCGTCGGAAATGTAACGCCCCTTACCATAATCACGAGCGTCAGCTTTCAAAGTAAATATCAAGACAGTTAATAATGTCATTAGTTTTACCATCAGTTCAAGCCCGAAAGGACAACAGAGTCGCGTGACAGACACAGTGAGGAAGCTGGTATGTGTTTGCAGTACACAAGCCACGGTTAAGACAGCTGACTCCACTGTGATGCGACCCTGTCTCTCTCTCTCTCTCTCACACACACACACACACACACACAC